ACAGATCAATATTTCATGACAGAAATTATTTAAGCAGGCATACTCTAGAATAGTTTTGACCTTCCGAGCTTTTGTTTGCAATCAGGCCCATTAAAGCAATGCTCTTGCGAGATGCTATTGGTTGGAACTATCCGTTTCATATCTGTGCCTCACAAACACCAGAAAATAACACTTTCAAAACTCATGACCGACAGAGAATGGAGAGGCATTCGCCTATCAGCGGATTGACAAAAGGCTGTAAAAAAAAACATTACGGTAAAATAAAAATAAATGTAAATGGTGTTTATTTATGTTAATTTAGGGTAGTGTTCTTCATTGCGGCCCCAGACAATACACACATGTGAAAATAACCTCCATCGTGCTGTCAACCCCCAATGGTTTCAAATGTGTGGCGGCCCTCACACTGATGATGTCTTATCGGTGAAAGTGGCTCCCGTCTGAACATTAGGGAATAACACTGATTTAGCGTAAGCAGGGCTGATAATAATATTTTTTTTCTTTTCGTTGCTGGTTTGAGCTTTTGAGTGTAGATTTGTCCTTCTGGAAATACAATGAGAAGTGAAGGAAATCTAGTTACACGAATTAATTGAATGCAGTCGGACCATGCCATACTTTTTGCCTACACCTTGCGCATTTCACTTGTGGAACTTCATGCAGTCTTAATTACGATGCCCACTAAACTACGCGCGTAATTTAAGCGCAGCCAAATGCACATCGGACTGGAAAGCTATCCTCGCATTTAATTTAAATTGGGTCTGCAGGCTCACGGCCACACATTTGGCGGGTTAACTGATTCATCGGAATGCCTGGAAGGGAAAAAGGTAAGGCCAGGAAACACTGCTCTGTTTGCAACCGAAATGTAAATTCATCAATTTTATGAGAATATTGCTAAATTGTTATGTTAACTCATTACGCATTCACCCTTTCTGTGTACTGTGTACCGCTTAAGAATGTGGTTTGCAAGAAGGTTAATGGGCCACTGAAGGTTGTGAAAGGTTATACGGTGTAATGCCATATGGATGCACTAAAATGAAGCAGACCTGCAGGGCTCCATGTAAGGACCTTGTATTTTAAATTGTGTCCAACACGTTAATTATTGATGCACATATTCAGTTGAGTATGTACTTTATAATGTCAAATCCTGAATATATTTCGGTGACCATTTTGCCGAAAGGTAATTTCAGGCTTCATAATGAATGGATGCCAAAACAAATCCAAGCTCATGTGTGTGTTTTTTGAGTCCGTGTGTTTATATTTGCTGTACAGTAATTATGTATTTGTTTAGTTAAATATATATAGAATGTACCAGGTTTCATATATGAGAATACCCTTTTGTAAACTGCATGTTTAAACTCCAACTATCTACATTGTGTTATTTGCACAATATCTGTAATAGTCTCAGTCAATAAGTATACATCAGATGGATAAGCAGCACACTATATTGATCATATTATAGATCCAGGCATGGCATTGCACACCTGTGATCCAGCCTTTGGCAGTAAGTGTTAATGGATGATGCAGATTTGTGAAACTGCAAAACATTCCGGGATATGGGGTGGCCAGATGTCAGTACAGAAAATGGTTTCATTAACCCATCTATGTTACCTTTGAGCATTCTCCCCTATTATATATTATTCTTTGGTTTATTTTGCTCACTCTTGATTTTCTTCCACAGGAAGCCGCTCATTCCACAGGTACCAGCTACTCGTTCTTCAGTAAAGAACCCTCAGTAAAAACATATATTGAGACTTGCTAAGGTTTTCCCTGGTCAACTGGTGTCACTTCATGGTTAACAATAAACCTCACATGCTAAATTGAGAATTTAGATGCTTTGACATGACTTGCCACATGTGGTAAACACATCCATGCAGGAACTGTATCCATATTCTTAGGTTGTTTCGGTAAAAGTGACGTAAGTAAAAAAATTTCATTAATAAAAGTAAAATCTAAATAAAATAAAAATCATGACTTTTCTGAAGCAAAACACAAGCTTCCGTCTTCCGGTGAAACCGTCACAGCACGATAGCTGTATCAAGTGAGGAACGTCGTGATTTTTATTTTATTTTACTTTTATTAATTTTAATTTTTTACCTACGTGACTTTACCGAAAAACCTAAGAATATGAATCCTTGCAGTCACGAAAGCTTCAAATCTAAACTGTATCCATCTTTGAACATTCGTGCGGCAGTATTTCTGCACATATAAAATAAAAACAACATAATCGGATAGAGTATTTGACACTGTAATCATTTATAGCCCCATAATAATTGAATGCCCTTTGCCACGTGATGGTCATTATAGTTATTTGCCTATACTTCACTGGGTTGGAGACAACCTGAGGGTAATTTACTCCACCAAAAGTTAATCAAGATAACTGGTATAGGTGTACTCTCTGCATACCACCTATAGTTGCAATTTCTGAGTTACAAAAGAACTGGAACATATCATGAGAAGAATATCTCTCAAAACTAGAAGAGGCGGGAGGAACTATACACACGTTAAACGCATTATCACGCAATTGAAAAAACGGCAAATTTTTTCAATGTCCAGGGAAGACTTACAACCAAGAGGTCGATCCTGGGAAAACCAGGACAGGTGGCAGACCTAAAACGACCACTGTTACATGCTGTTGCTGTTTTTGTAACATACAGCATAGTACTGGTGAAGCCACAAACCTGCTTTTTATGTACAGTATTATTATACAAGCCGGATAGGCGTCAGTCTGGTTTAATAAGCCCGGGGTATCAAAACAATGAATGCCAAGAATCTTAAGACAGCCTTAGTTTGACTGAGCCTGGGGCATGTGCACTGAGCCCTAATAAACTTTAACTTTTCTTGATATATTCACCGATGTAATAATCTAAAGCCCTTTGTCAATGCCACGACTGGCTGAACGTCTCCTCATGTCAAGTCAGTCATGGTTACTGGTCGACCACATTTAAGTGTAGGTTGGTGGATGGGGTATGTGTATATATGTTAAACTTCCTTCTCACCGTACGTACCCCAACTGTGCTAATTGGAGGTGTGGGGAAGGACAACAAACTCAACACAAAAGAAATTGAGTTTTCAATTTCAATGAGTTTTCAATCCAGGTGGGAACCCAGGATCAGTTTGGATATCACTCACGGCTGATGTTTGCTGTGGCCGCGAATCGAACTCAAGTTTCCCCGGTCAGAGTACCATGCGCTAACCACAATGCCACCGCTCTACCACTCTAGATCAGTCATTGTCCATCTCACGCAATAAGTGATCGCAAATTTTCAAGCTCATGCCAAGCATGTGTACTCCACGGCTGCATTGCTGGGTAACAGAAGTACCACGTGGTGCTGCTGGTAAAGATGTATATATTGCAGGTTTATTTGCATGTTAGCGATTTGGAGATGTTTCCAAACATCCCTGGTTAGCTTCGCAGTGACTCCAAGATACTGACACATTGTAAATGTCTATTCTGAGGTGTAATTGACTGGAAACTTCACTTACACGACCCTCCTTTGGCTCATTACTGTTTTGACCTTCCAAGTGAAATTTCTCAGCCTTCATTAAGCTTGCATTTTGTGAAAATATATTGCGACGAATGCTCTTAATAAGAAGTGCAGCTGCCTAATGGTTAATTAGCAAATGACCCGCAGTGTGAATTTACCCTTGGACATCATTAACAATAACAGATTATTAAAAAAATTACCCAGCGTTAAGAAAGGTGTTGACGTATCTGTGAAAGCTGACATGTCAATAAACGAGCTATCCACTGCTGGAAGAAGGCCACCCCAAGTCGTCCCCATCTGTCACGAATTTGCGTGCAACAATCTCTCTCGCATCTGTACACGAGCTGATTTCATCGCTCGATTCCAGCGGTGCATGTTTTCTAGAGTGTTTCCCTCCCTTGTCTGCTACTCTTTAGTGAGTCTTGACCACCGGCCACTATTGCTTCTCACCATGAAGTGTCATGCAGAAGCACACTTACATGTTTTAAGTCAATGTGACGCATCGAAATTTAACACGTAGGATAGCGTACGGAAAATGTGCTTTACACCCTCCTCCAACCAACACAGCCGATTAATACACATACTGGTGTGCTGCTGAAACAGTAATACATTGCCACGTTTGTTCACGTGACGATTTTATTAATTGGCTGTGTTGGGTGGAGGAGGGTGCACAACACACGTTTAACCTATTCGATTCGACCAACAAATATAGTATGCATCACAACGTATCTCGAGTGGGTATTTTCTCTAATCCACGTGTTCCTCTTGATGTCCCAATGTAATTCCAGGCAAGCATTTCTCAGTGCAGCATTACGCAGTTTGCAACTCTTGGTCCATTTTCTTTTTCATTGTTGATTTTTATGATCCTGCTCAAAGCCTATAACACACACTGATACAAATACCCGCCGATAAGTTATACAATCTCTTACATAATCGTGTTCGTAAGTCACAATTTAAGTTCACACGTGTATAATCTTCCACTTACATTCACCTAATTTTTTCTCTTAATATTCCAAGCAGTGCAAAAATATGAATTTGCATACAAGGCAAAAATTCTTATTCGTGCACGATTCGACTCTCCACATGTGCAATGTGTCTTTGCATTCATTTTTTGTCGTGGTTCGATCGATTCTAACCGATTCAATGCATCCATTCATCGATGAACACTCTGAATAATCAACTCTGCAGGCAGCACGTGACCCCTGCAAACACCAATTACGGCAATTCATCGGTTTACGTCGGGGATTGCGTCCGATATCGAAACGACGTAAATAAAACTGACGGACAGGGTAGGCGGCGGCGAATGCTGACTAGGACGACGAGAAAGGGACGTAAGCGTGGGTTTAAAACCGACGCAAATTTGGCAGTGGTAGAGGAATAACGAAGCGGCGACGTAGTTGCGAGACGACGTATAACGGGGCATTGGCTCCTCCCCTCGTGACCTTTTGACCCCCCCCCCTGAGTTGACATCACGTGGGGGGCGGGGGGAGGAGGAGTCGGGGGGCGGGGTAGGCGACTCAAGGAAGAAAAAAAGCAAAACAAAAGCGAAGCGTTAAATGTTACACACACACATATAGCTCCTTCAGAACGCTTTAACAAGTTCACCTCTTTATTTATGCACAGCTGGTTAAACGACGAGGACTAACGCGACAGGGTAAGACGAATACGCATCGAAGTGTCTTTACGTGATCGGATTGAGCCGTGTGCGAGTGACTTCACTTTAGCGACTAGTCACGTTCAACTTGTGATTGTTTGAACCGCAGCACATCTCTGCGTTGTGTGTGTATGTACACACGCATGAGTGTACGTTGTTAACGTGTTGTGTTATTGTGTATAACGCCCTTGTTGTTGTGTGCCTGTGTGTACGCTTGTACTGTGTAATGGTACACTGGGTAGAAACCCAAGAATCGCGTCACTGTACCAGTAAAATGTTTTAGAGGCACAGATGTCTTTGAATTCCACCAAATTGTTCAGCTTAACCTGTATTTAAATACGCCTCACTGCGTAAACGTTGACGTTAATGTGTTTCGTAATCGGGGTGAATCCCGCGAAAATGTGTATTTGTGTTTGTGTGTTTTTCTCACTTAGAACTTAAACTGTTTTCCTACTTGTGGAGCAATTTTCATTCACTGGATTACATTCCTGTTTTTGTTACAGTTGAAGTTAATGTAGTTTTGCACTCTCCTTAAATGTTGCAGACTTGCTGCCATCTTGTTACACCAGTTCAACTTTCAAACTTGTTGTTATCACGTACAATCGATATTGTTTGATGATGCCGTATTGTCTGTGATTCGACACAATCGTCAATATAAAATATTTAGCTGTGACGGTCTCACCTGAAGACGGAGACTTGTATTGCCTCCGAAACGTCGTGATTTATTATTTTATTTCTATAATTATTTTTTTCTTTTTTACCTACGCGACTTTACCGAAAGAAACACAAGAGTATGAATATAAAGATATTAGCCTTTTGCCACGTCCTAGGACGGAAGCTGTAAAGTTTACGAAAAAATTGAGCAGAGTATAATTGTATCTTGTGTACATTTAATGGCAGTGAATCATCCACAGAAGAATGTCATCAAACACTGCACTGCATTTCGCTGTAGCACTGTTTTAATGGCAGTGAATCTTGCACAAAACGATGTCATCCAACACTTCTAGATTTGAAGCTTTTGTGGCTGCAAGGATTCATACTCTTAGGTTTTATTATTTTATTTCTATTATTTTTATTTCTACCTACGTGCCTTTACCGAAAAAACCAAACACTTCATTTAATTTCACTGTAGCACTGTATTTAATTGACCTTCAATTAGCCTTTTGCCCGTCCTAGGACGGAAGATGTAATATTAAAGATGTACATTTACGTTTTCTTGTGATTGTACATTTTTATTAGGAATTGTTGCACGTAAATAAAAATTTCTTCACTTAAAAATAAATTTCGATTTAAAGCTTTCGTGACTGCAGGGATTCGTCTTCTTGGTCCTTTCAGTAAAGTCACGTAGAATGGAAATAATAAAATAATAAAAATAAAACATAATAAAATACAATTCTCACGACGTTTCGGCCACAACGCAAGCAGCCGTCCTCAGGTGAAGAACAGGTCTGTCGGAAAGACAGCGTCTGACAGACTTGTTCTTCACCTGAGGACGGTTGCTTGCGTTGTGGCTGAAACGTCGTAAGAATTGTATTTTATTATGTTTTATTATTTTATTATTTCCCTTATACGTGACTTTACCGAAAGAACCAAGAAGGTTAAAAAATGAAACCTCGGTATACGATATTTTGTGTGAATCTCTTGTACTGTACAGGGTGTTTAAAAAAAGATGGACCCAATTTCAAAGCAGTATATATCACGATGGCAATATGTTACAATTACACAAAACGTTACAGTTTAATGAGTTATCAAGTTTTACTAACCATTTTATAAATGCTCTATGTGCCCTCCACCTGCTGTACAGACAACATCGAGACGATACTTGAATTTGTCCCAAATGCCTCTCAAAGTGTCTTCTTTCACTGAAGTCACCGCTGCCGTGATTCTGTTTTTAAGGGCATCCAGATTAGTCGCTAATGGTGGCACAAACACACGGTCTTTGACCGTGGGTCAAAGACCGTGTGGGTGTGATGTCTGGGGGTGATCTTGGGGGCCAAGAGTGTAGCGCCAAGTCTTGGGGTCCCGTGCGACCTATCCAACGTTGAGGCAGTGTGGCTTGCGAATGACTGAGACTAAAAACTGTTTGTGCGCTGGGAGAGGCATCGAGCGGTAATCATTTTAAACGCTATGCCCTGCCCTCTCTATGCCCCACCCTCCTCTCTATGCCCCGCCCTTTCAAGTGGTAAGAGTTTCATTCATGGGCGGTTCGTGGTTGCAGAGATATAGCGATTTCAAATCGGGTCCATCTTTTTCAAACACGGTGTATTAATGGCAGTGATTCTTGCACAAAACTATGTCATAAAACACCTCACTTCATGTCACTGTAGCACTGCATTTAACTCACCTTAAATTAGTTCGAAATCACTGCTCTGATACTTTATTTTCTTCTGCTTTCGCTCGCTGGGGTTGTATGTATTCATATTGAATTCGATACAATGTCTGGAAAATCACGGAGAAATGTATATATAATAAAGACACCAAAGACACTTTGTCGCTGCGTATAATTATTTATTTGATTAACTTTCAATAAAGAAACTTCAAATGAAAGCGAATTTGCGTTTAAAAAAATATTTCCTCTCGACCTGCAGGAGTGAAAATCCACCCGCTCATGATTATTAATGAGGAGGGAGGTCCTCTTTTGCAGTGACGTCACGTGCGAATGTAGCACTGTGCTGCGTATATTTATTTTTGACCGTCACTTTCTGTAAAGAAACGTCATATTTGAAGCGACTTTGCGAAAAAAAATATCTTTCCACTCAACCTTCTTCTGCGTGAGTGTAAAAATCCACCCACCCATGATTATTTTATTATTAATGACGGGGGGTGTGGCATGTGGAGTGACGTCACGTGCGTTACACACATTTCTGGGCTATTATATATTAAAAATATAATGGGTGACGTTTAAAGCAATGGCCCTTCTTCATGGCCATGGCCTATTATGTATTTTTTCCTTTGATGAATTTGAGTTTTTTGTTAATTGTGCTTTTGTATCATTGCCAGCGCAGCAGCACCAAAGAATTCGCGTCTGTGATAGTAATTTAACATTTTTTACCCACAGTGAATTTTAAGAAATTCTCGTCGACCACTTAAAACATTAATTCAACTTAAAACACAGTTTTTCCCACTGGCATATTTATACTTTACACTTTAAAAATTTGTAAAAAAAAACTGCGGTGACTCGGTTTGGCATTCTTGAGTCTTGCTCCCTCGAATCTTCTGAAACGTGTTTTTGTTACTTCAACCACTCCGGTTCAAAATGTTTACCCCTTTTCTCATGTAAACTTTATTTACACTCGACACTTGTGTTTACGTCTCCTGTCCTATGCATTGTAAATCTGTTTTTTCAACCGTGGGGCAAATCTTTAAAATCCCACGTTTTACTGAAACTGATCATAACTAATCCCGGCGAGACTTGTGAAAGTGTTATTACTCGGGTTGCTAAAATCGTTTTGTTTTGCATTACTGTCAAGTGCATGAAAAACCCGTTCCCGGTTTACCGCACACATAGCAATGCCCAGCAATGAACAGTAATTGTATTTCCTTTATGCCAGAAATGAAATAAGCTGTTGTGGTGTAGTGGTTAGCACGTTTCACTCGGAATCAAGAGGTCGCCTGCTCAGTTCAATCTCCCGGTGCGGCAGTGGAAACAATTGGGCGATTTTCTAAATCCCCTTGCAGTCTAAATGGGTTTATATTATCTAGATAATTTTGCTGCTATACATTTTCACGTGATGTGTTACTTCGTTGAGCTATAATTTGTGGTTAGGTCGCTTCTGAAAAAATAAGCTAATAGCTAAGTGGGCCTAACCTGGTAGAACACAATAGATTCGTTTTATTATTACATATGTTTTATTCATTTGCTTACCTTTCCTGTACTCTGCACTCAATCGTGGTTTTGTATTGTTTGTTGTAACGTTCCGACCAGCCCCTCCTGGGCATCTGTGAAAAACAGCTTTATAGCTCATCGGATTCCTCCTACAGTATAAATACAGATTCTGATTCTGGGTGCACCGCAGTTAAGTCAATTAGCAGGTGGAATGTGGCGGGGTAAAGTGTAATTCGTACATCTTCCAAGACGTCTGGTCGTCGTGGAAGAGTAGACCAAATAACCTCGACAGCTTCCTCTACTCGAGGCCCTTCCGCTAGCAGTAGTATGAGTAAGCAATTGCAGGGCTGCACATTTTAACAACCAAGGCAAATGTACAACACGGTGACTTATGCCTAAGGCCTTGCGGTTTTTTCGTTCAGGACATACATAACCAATCAATGCATCAATTATAAATATCATTGCATTCATTACCAGTTGCCATTGGAAGCAAGTACTGATCCATAAGTTCAGGAATCGACTATTGGTTTTCGATTATCATTTAACAACTTTTTATTGCAAATTATTTGGGAATACTGACTTGGCAGTGGTGCACAAGCACAATTTAGAACAACTAATTTGTCAAGTAAAAATATTTAAAGATACATGCCAAAAAAAGGTGGAGTTTTTTTGGCAGACACATGCACAGGCTGTGTGTGTGCCAGGCTGTTTGACACAAAGTTTAAAACTTTTACTAAATGAAGAAATAGTTTATAAAATTGCCTTAAAGCATGTGAATATTGCATTCTAGTAACATCACTCTGACATATTTTAATATGCAGTGTGTCAGTGCTATGTGGTGAGCAGTAGAAGAGGGTATTACATAAAAAATAAATTGTTGTACTGTACTTCTATACTTGCATGCGGAGGCCCTCATCCAGCAGTTGATTGACAACAGGGCATGTAAAAGGTTTATGCAGTGATGTCACGGAGAGCGCTACGGCTGGGTGCCTGACCATGATTGCAAAGTCGATTCTCTTACGAAAGAAATGCTGCCTATTGTATGTTGTTTTCTCTTCATGGCAGTTTGTTTTATTGACGAATGTGTGCTTGTGCACCCACTGCCAATGCACTATCACCCAAAAACAATGTTCACTTTCTGTAAATGATGGGAACCTCGTTAGACAGAAGAGTA